GCTATAATTTTCAACGAACGTCTCACGTGCTCGACTTCAACAATACTCTGTTCAATTACACACTCTCTGACTGCAGTTCAATTACTCATTACCTCCCATCGCTTCGTGGCCGGTCTTATATATACAAGACTGCACTATATCTAGAAAGATCACGAGATTTAAGGAAAAGACGTGAAAGTTCGAGAATAACGTGGCGTGATACTAGTCACTTGACCTCGATGTCGTAACAATATATTTACATTAAGAAACATTCGGGGAACGTTTTTTTTGTGTGTGTTGTGAAAAGCTCCTGCCTTGTATCTGATGTTCCCAACAAAAAACAGGCAGGAGCTGTCATAAATAAACTTTTCTCAAATGTTGATCACGTTGCCTGAAGCTACCTTGAAGACAGATTCATTCAATTATAAAGGAGTACTATGCTAACTCCACGCCTAAATATTTGATCTTCCTACTGAATGTCTCCCCTTGTCATATAAATAATACATACATAATAACATTTTTAGACAAAATATTCCAATTTAAAAATTTTGGCATCTATTTGTTACTAGTGTGATTACATAAACTTATTAAACTTGATAATATCAAACTTTATTTTCATAGCTAAGAATTAGTACACAGCATAACTTAATTATCTTTATTACGAATGGTGTTACTACTTTTGTGTCACTAGGTTACGCTACAGACTTTAGTTGTAGTATTACAGTTTAGTGGTTTTGTTCTCGTAAGAAACGAAGTTGTAACTGAAAGTTTACACTTATTACCTGTTCTTTGAAGCTATATTATTATTATTTTGACAAGTCATAGAAACTTAGCTATTGCTACTTTGGATTAAGTTTTTAAAATAGTCATGTAATATATTTGAATATTTATATATTTTAGTATAGGACTCTCACACCACAACATAATATTTTATGTTATTAGTACTACTAACTTGTTAGTGTACAACAGTACAAGTACAAACAAAAGTATAGCGTATAAATTTACGATTCTAGTCAACTACTGAATAGTTACTACTGTAATTGTAGCCTCGGTAGATAAGCTATTATTAAGCCTAAGCTTTATAATTATATGATAGCTAAATTAATTTTTACGACATCTCAGTTTATTATTTGGAACAGAATTTTATGTCCTTTCTATGAGTTATTTCCATGTGGCTCTCAGTCTCACCATTGTATACTCTAGAAAGAATTTCGTCGTAGACAGTTTAACTTTTTTGAATATTTAATAATGCATTTATACATCTCTTATGACCACACTATTAAGTAAAACTTGTGCATTTCAAATTCAAGCAGGTATGCAATCTGAAAAGAATTGTTCAAGATAATTTTTTCCCCTTATTTTTGTCCAAAGGTAAACTGAACTTTGGCTTAGGTTTGTACAAGGTGTAGGTAAATCTGGCAAGACTTTGTAATAATGGTGTAGTCTTAGTTGCTTTTGTGTACAATATCCGAAAGCTCTACTTCACAGACTTTGAATTAAAAGAAATTACAGTATGTACCCACGACCTTGTCAGATGACACCAGGAAGCTTTCGGCTTATTCCAGGTACCAGTACTTTGTATGATAATCGCTTTCGCCATCTGCAGAAGAGACATAAAGAATCCTTTTTAGGATTAAATGCAATTTTCTTACCTGATGCTAATCCAGTTGGTGTTGTATATCGATCCAGTTTGCCTGCTACACCTTTATGTACTCCTCTTCACGAAGGACCTCAGTTTTCTGAAAGAGTACTAAGAGAACGTCTATGCAAGACTCCATCGCCGTGGAAGTGTAAATTTTTTGAACCACATCATTCAAGTGTGGGCTTAAATACCCTTGAAGACAACTGGGGAGATGTTGCTTTGAAGGGAGATTGTGTTAACCGTGTCACCAGTCTAGCTGGGTTTAAAAAATTTGCACAGCATGCAAAAAATAAAATTGAAGAGAGAACTGATAAAAATCTAGGTCATATTTCTCATCAAAGCAAACGGGAAACCATAACAAAGGAAAATCAGCCAATTACTTTGAGCTTAAACAAACGAGTTTTTGTTGGAAATATAAGTTATAGGGTAGGTTTTAGTAAAGAACTTCCTGGTTAACTTAGTTGCAATAGAAAAGCCAAAGTGATTTTAATGTTTTGTTGAAAATATAAGTTTTAGGGTAGATTTTAGGAAAGAGCTTCCTGATGTATTTGATTGTGACTTGAAAACCAAATATAAGTAATTTTTGTGTGAAATGCAAGGTTTTTCATAGGAAATAGTAAAACAAACAAATAGAGTACTTACAGTTTAAGTCTGGATATGAGGTTTAAAGGTATGGTAAAGCACGAGAAAGTAAAACTTAATGTAATCCAAAATACAAGTAGAAGATAAACACCGCAGAAATCTGAAGAAACTATAAAAAATTGCTATTGTTATTAGACACCTGCTTTGTTTTGTAGATCAGATTGGAAATAGTGAAACTGAAAAGTGTTTTAAACATGATCATGAAGAATAATTGAAAGAGTTAAATAAATTTTCCTTTAAATCTAAAAGAAACTTTAGCAATTTAATGTAGTGTATGGATTTAGGTGCATGTTGATGTTTAAAGTGTTTTGATAAAATGAATTGTTTTCATAGTATTCATTCAAGTAGTCAAAATGTTGTGATAAATTGCTTCATACTTTATTATAATTACAAAGAGTAATTCAGTCTTATTGTTTCATTAAAAACTTTAATTATTTTTTTCTTAAAATTCAGTTTTTGTCTGTTATTTGATAAAAGAAATATTTTATTCACATGGAGAAAATCTTGGATGTTACAACGTTCAACTAATATTCATAAATTACTTGTTTACTACACAGGTTTCTCGTGTATATGAAAGTGTTTCCAATCAACTATATATCTTTGTTTTTAAAATGCTGCTAATGTTTCAGTTAACTAAACCTGCAAGTGACAACTTTTAATATTTACATTAAATATCAAAATTTAATGTATTAGTTTTATAAGAACATTCATTACTTTGTGGTAGCCTTTACAAATATTTTATTTTTTTAAAACAGCTAATTGTAGTGAATTGCCCTCTCTTTTTTGCTTTGAAACTAAACGTTTATTCGGTTTAACACAGACTTGATTTGGAAAACTTAGCTCAGGTACATTTTAACATTGTGTATGTGTATGGCATTATGGGATATTATCTCTTATTGTTTTAAAGTTGTATTAAATATATAATATATTTATCTCTCGTTCATCTAAGATGCTTTGTTTCAACAAGCCTTAGATTTAGTATACAGGTTTTTTGCAATCGCAGGTGAGCAGGAAAGAACTCTGGAACCATTTCAGCCAGTTTGGAAAAGTTGTGCACTGTGTTATTGTACAAGATCACATCAAAAAAAGACCAAAGGGGTTAGTGAACCAAACTTGCACTTCTGGACGTAATGTAAAGTAATAAAAGGCTATAAGAAATAGTGGAGAAAATGTGTGATTCATACGGTCCTTAAAACAAAAGTTATGATTCTACAGATCAAAGTGAAACATTTAAAATATTAAAGTACTTACATAATTTATAAGTTTCTCTGAAATCAGATTGCAAAATAGCTTCTAAAAATGTTATAGCTTATTAACTTTTTTAATTTTGTTTCTTATACATCTGTAACAGTTTTTGGTAAACAAATTTTTGATGTATTAGTAGTTAAATACCGATTTATCTCTGAAAGAATAAAATGATTTCAAAAACATTGTAGATATAAATAACTTGCAATTAAAGTCATTAAAAGTGTAACTAAATCACTTTCGTCTAAAATATCTACCTAGTTTTTTTTTTTTGAAATTGAAGTTCATTAAAAAAACTTCTACTACAAGAAGTAAATAGTTTATAGGAGTATCTTGTCTTGAAAGAGTTCAGTTAACACAGAAATAGCATTGATTAAATGATTTATTGAAATTGATACAATGAAATAACTATCAAAATTATTTTACCCATAACTAACAAAGAAGTAACTTGAAGTTTTTACTGGAAAGAAGAACTAGGTGTAATATGATGAAGAAGATCAAACTTGTTAAGGTTTTGATTATGCTAACTGTGGGATTTTTTTTTTACTACTAGTGCAAGAGGTTTAGAAGGTTCTTTGGTGATCTTGATGAATCAGATAATTTTCTGTCACCATTGTTTCTCATGTTTTCTTTCCTAGTAATACTAAAGTTTAACCATTCTACCTGTTTAACCCTCAAAAAGACTAGCCATAGGATGCCTACTCAAATGAAGTTCAGATATTTGTATATGTTTATATTAGGTGTTGAAACTAAATCATTCTAGAGCAGTTTATTTTTGCCAACATTTTGTGTAATTAAAAAATCAAAACTGGAGATGATATTCTGTAAAAGTCTGATACAAAGCATTAATTAGATACTTATTCATAACATACAAACTTTAATTAATAAACAAACGGCAATGTAATTTGTAAATTATGTTTACGATGGCCACAAAGTAATTTCCATTGGAGCTCTTGTACATGTATTTTTCTCTTAATCCTACAGTAACTACCAGTTTTCTCCAAGATCCTAAACCTGATACTTTATAAACATCATATTGAATAAGGTCCTGCAAGTCTCTGGGTTTACCACACTCATCTCGATATTTTTGAATTAACGAGACACTGTCCACAGCATCAGTTCCTTCAGTCATTGTGATGATACATTTTACCAGTGAATTTGGATATGTACAAACCATTATATTCCTAAACTAATAAGTTTACCCATTCAAAAAAAACTTGTATTTTATCCTAAAAAGCTGATTCTTAAATGGTATCTTGCATGTTTCTTCTGAGAGCATGATACTTTCTTTTTGAAGCTAATTTCTTACAAGAAATCGCATCACAAGCTCTTGAAAATCCAGAAAAACAACATTCATTGATTTACTCGTATCCATAAAAAACACAAACCCCCATTAAGTTAAACCAGTATTTTTCAGGTGCTTATTTAAACCTATGTATTTATAAGTCTTTCATTTCTAAGACTTGCATAAGGCTTAACATTTTAATAAGATTTTTCAATCCTCTGAAATCATCCAGTTCCTTCTTAAGAATGATCATTAAAGCTTTTGACTGCTAATCATTCCATTTGCATAAGTCTCAAATTGTGTTGCTCTTACAGAACTTCTCAAAATTATATACTATTGATACTTCACTGAATTAATAGTAGTTAAAAGTGATTCATCTCTCTTGTTAAACATTCTACCACAATACAGTAATCCAAAATAAGTATTAATTTTGAATTTTTCAAAGGTCCTGTACTGTCCTATAGTTTTTTATTCACCTAGCATGAAACTTGTCTGCTACATTTCCTACTGTTATTAAGTAAAGAGTTAGAACTTTCTCGTGCTTGAGGTGAATTTCCTTGTTGTACTTTTTTTTTCTATAAACTTGATATTTGTAAATTACCAGTTTACTTGTGAGTTTGATATTTTTCATGTATTTATTATTCAATATTTTTACTGTTGAAAACGTATACTTTTGAATTTCATTGATTTCAGATTTCCTATGCAGAAATACCTCACAGATATGAACTTTTCATGTACAGAAGCATTAATAAAACACAAAAGATTACAATATTAGAAGATGATAATAGTAAAATGTATCTATATAATTACAATAATGATCCTACTTTTTTAATAATTGGTAAACCACCCGCATGATTGTTGGTCTGATCCTCAGTATGTTGACGTACAAATTAAGATGAATTGTTGAGACTCGGGTTGAATTTTATAAGTAATGGCTGAGAAAGCCGTTCTCCTTTATAATGATGACCCTGTTTCTTACCACAGCTAAGCTTAAATGTCTTAATATATTCTTAAAAACTTGGGTAATTGTATCTGTTATTTATAATCACCAATTTAAATATTTTATTTTAAGAAAACATCAACTCACAGTCTTTACAGAAATATCCACAAAACCAAATCTTTCAGAATAATTTTTTATAAGTAATCAGGTCCATTCTGTTTTATATAATTAATTTTTTTTAATGTTGGCAAAAATAAAATTGACAAATATGTAACATAACATTAAAGGACAACAAAGGACCTTTTGGCCCATCTAGATCATCCTTTTCACTAAATTAAACACTAAAAAACTCAAAGCCAGCCCCTATCATTCAAATATTTACCAAGCTTTCCCTTAAACTTCTTGAACTGCATCTACCACATCTGAAGGCAACTTATTTTAAAGGCCAAACACCTATTAGGAAAATAAAGCTATCTTAGCTGAAAATGACTCCCACCTGCCAAATTTGTATTTGTGTCTCCTAGTCTTACCATTTTTTATCATTAAATACAAAAAAAAATTATACATCAACATCGTCATCCTTAACAATTTTCAATACCTCAATCAGATCCCTCCCTCTAACTCTTCTTTTATTCAAGATAAAATAAGTTCATAAATCTTAACTTATCCTTGTTTGATAACCCTTCCATCCGAGGTATCATAGTTGTAGCCTTCCTCTGAACCGTTTACAACAATTAATTGTTCTTTCTAAGGTAAGGAGCCCAAAACTGAGCACAATGCTTCAGATGTCACCTAACCAATGACCTATACGGTGACATTATAACCTTTTTAGATTTGTATTCAGTACTTCTGTAGATGCAACCTAAAATCCGATTTCCCCTGCCACTAACAACAACATATTGCTTGGATGGCTTAAGGAACTCAAATATGAAGATCTTTTATAACACTTAAGGTTATTTCCATCAAAATTATACTCAGTTCAAATTATAATATTCTACAGGCATTACCTTGCATTTATTATAATTAAAAGTCATCTGCTGTTTATTTGCCCAACTCTCCAAATAATCCAAGTCATTTTGTAAAACAGTAGTGCCCTCTTTACAACCAGAAACACCCAAAACTTTAAAGTCATCAACAAATTTAAATAATCTCTTGTCCATCCTTTATCTATGTCATTGATGTAAATCAAAAAAGAGCAAAGGTCCTAACACTGAGCCCTGAGGTACCCCACTTGTGAAATTAATCCAGTTTTACTGAACTCCATTTATAAAAAACCTTCTGCTTTCTTCCATCTAGCCAGTTTTCTATTCAATAAGCCAACCTATCCCCCACACCTAAAGAGATAATTTTTTAACAAGCCTTTTGTGTGGAACTTTGTCAAATGTTTTTTGAAAATCCAGATACATCAAATCCACACCTGGACCATCACTTACATAAGCAGTAATCTTTTCAAACAACAACTCGACCTCCATTTTTCCATATTTCGTTTGTTAAGATATGTAATTTTATTTCAAACTAACACCTTCCTTTTATCTTTTTTCTTTAGCCTAATTATGGAAAACAGTAATAGGATCTCCTAAAATCCAGGTTATTTTCACATCAAGCCAAAGATTAAAATTTTCTCCAAACTAAGCAGATTTACAAAGAAATCTCTAATGAAGTTACAGCTTTCTTGAGAGTCCTATTTCAGATTTTTAAGTAGCTACTATAACATTTCTGTCTTATGTCTCAAATGTGTTTCACAAATCTAACCAGCTTATTGATTCTCCAGCCCCCCAGTGGTAAATCTTTGAACTTATCTTCCACTCATATCCACACAAATTATTCTGTACCCTAGTGAAACTTGTTATTCACACTTGGTTTCAGCAACCTCTGAAAGTTTCATTCTTTAAAAGCCTTAAGTAATTTCCTTTAAAATTTTCAATCTACCATTTTTAACATAACACACAACAAAAAGTAATTTTTTTTCCTGTGACCTAGTTTTCTTGTTAGTTTATACTTTACCATAGCAGCAGAGGGAAGACAAGCAGTCTTCAGCACCATACCACTCATGCTAAGGGATTGTCATTCTTATAATACAATCACAGCTAAACTGCGAGGAATATTCTATGGTATTACATGGATTAAAATCCAGCTTTGCAGCTCCGAGATACAGAGCTGTGTCACAGGGCCAACTCATGCCATTGTAAAGTTAAGAGTTTACTTAAACGTCCTGAATTTATATGCAAAAACAGTTACAAACACTGGTCTGCAATTTCTTGTATGAGCTTATGTTACTTTATGCATAAAATAAGCAACTCAATTTTAAGCTTTAAACTGTGTGTGCGTGGTAACACTTTTTTTTTATGATTGATCTGCAACTGGAAAAAGAGAGAGGAAAACGTACTATTATCAGAAATACTATAACTTAAAAAAAATGAAAGGTTTTTTATTTTCATATTCTGTGGATTATGTCATTAATGTTGCGTGTTTATGGTCTCACAGTTTATGAAAAGCTCACACATTTTTATTCACCTGAGTTTTTGAATAAAGTTTCATTTTTATAGGAGGCTTCATTGTTCAAGAAATGACTGGTAACTAAAACTGCGAAGGATATGCTAACTTGGAAAAACACAATAAGAAAACATCCTAAGAGAAAGTGATTTTTAGTTTCAAAATTCTTCCTCTTCCCCAATTTTAATTATTGTATAAAACGAAAATCAGATTTAAAATTGTTAAGTGCATAACTAATAGATATGTGTCCGATTATCAGTAATCATACTTTCTACACAGTAGAACAGAGGGGAGGGAGGACAAATATCAGTAAAAGGTTAAATCTTAAACCACTTGGATGTTTCAACAAATTAAAGCTACACGTCAATATTTGAAAATAGTAAAATACACAAA